GTAATAGCTCTGAAGTCAGTCTCCCAGAAATCAAAGAGTTCAAAAACCCCAGCTGAACTGCTAAATTTTCCAAACACGATGAGGATGCTGGAGGCCTTTTCCAGAGCCTCTGCTTCCATCTTTTGAAAGGAACAAGTTTTCTCCAGAGACCTTGCATCATTTTATTACCCTTTAAAAAGGCTTATTTGGTTTCCTTCTGCCTAATCAGAAGTCAACTGAGAACAATTGCAATGTATTTCTCCATTGTTTTGCTTCTCTAGTAGCCATTTACCCATGAACAAATGTCTCCACTAGTGTGACTGAAGAGTTTTGACTCAGTGGAATTCCTGCCTATGTGGCCCTAACGTTAAATATGCAAGGCAGTGACAGAGGGTCTTTTCTCTTATTTCTTTCCCATATTTCTTCTAGTTATAGCTAGATCTTAGTCTCCACTGTCCCAGCAATTGCACTACTTGGCTTACCAATTGGTCTTTCTAGCTCCTTGTTCATGTTGGCCCAACTTGCCGAACAATGTACGGGGTTCCTGCAGCGCAACAGCTGTTTTTCTTCCCCCATCTCTTTCTCTTCTGTTTTGAAGCTAGCTTTCAAAAGACTTTCTTTCAGCTAAATTTGAATCACTAAAGCGATCAATACCATTTATTTAGTGCTTTACAAGCTGGAAATGCAATTGTAGTTCTATAGGTATAGACCTGGCGTTAGACTGCTGCCAGTGGCAAGTGAGAAGCTCTATTGCAATTATTCATTTTTTACCATGGTTCAATGGATTCAAGTGCTGGTATTATTATTGTGGTGGATTAGACACCACCTTCCAATCACTGTGATGCCTTCTGTGTACATGCTTGATTGTCAGTCGTATGGTCTTGTAATCGCATGTTGTCTGAATTGCACTATTTTGCGGGACAATTTTTTTTCTTTTTTCAGAGAAAAATGTAGCATTTTAGGCTAGGCTTCTGAAAGGAGTCAAGAGAGAGTTATTCGTCCAAACCTCAGTGGAATTTGGGGACTTGTTTCTTCTCAGAACCCTTTGTAAGCCCCAAAAAGCGTGCAAATCTCAGCTATTTAAGATAGAGAGCTTAGTACGAAAAAGGATACTTTTCTAACATTAAAAATGCAGCTTTCTGCACACATGGCACCTTCTTAAACAGATCTCTTTCCCCCAGGTTTGGGAGATTGTGATTACTGTGGTTTGCTGAGAAGTAAGATTTTGATGCTAAACTCTACAAATCCAGAATATCTGAAGGGAAAGGAGAGATCACTGGATTATTTTCCAAAAACTTCAGCAAAATTGCCAACTACAGTCCATTTTCAAAGCTACCTGGTTGACCCCACTGTCCTCAAATTATGCTCTTTCTGGAGGAAATTAAGTTCCATAACAACTTGAGAAAAATGAACAAACATATTTCACCAGTGTAGCTGAGGAAAAATTATGTAGACTACTTTGGGCCTCAGATTCCAGACTGAGTTTCCCGAGCTGGCAATTTTCACCTGTCAGCTGAATGTGGTTTGACTTGGAGCAGGTATGGTGGCATCCACATTGCTATCCCTACAGTGTATTTTTAAGGAGAAAACTTCATACTAGGTAAGGTCCTTGACAGCTGAAGTCAACAAAGTTGATTGTCATTTGTGCCAGTTGAGATACGGGCTTTTCTTTTTCCTGCGAGACATTTTTCTCCTCTTTAATTGGGATGGAGCAAACACATGTTGCACTGCTGCCTACTTCACCACAGTTTACTTCGATCTCTCCTTTAAAAATGCTGTTTTGTAGTTTGAGAACAAAAGGGCACTCAATGACAAGAAGAAAATAAAGCCAAGAGATCTTTTTTTTTTTTTAATGGTGTCTGAGCTTCCTCCTTTGCTCAGCTGTCACATAATTAGGCTTTTGAAAATAATGAGTTTGGTTGTGTGCTAATTAGAGTATGACATTTACTTTCACTGATCTGCAAATTCCAGAGAAATTCTGATCTTTATCGCACTTCAGCTCCATTTGTATTACCCTAATGATAATCTTTAAGAAGTCTAGTTCTGCTGCATTAGAGATGATTTCACTGTCTGTACAATGTTTGCTACTACTATTGTAGTGTGACTTTTTATTTTTACTTTTAATATTTGTATTGGTACAGCCTTTTTAAAGACCAATTTGAGCATAATCAAGATAAAGTCATTGATGTCTGTGATAAGTGCATGCTTTATTCACACTATTTTGTCTGTAATTAGGTGTAGTGACCAGTTCTCATTTATTTAATAAACTGTTTTCTGCAAAGTTGTTTCTTTCTTTGATCGAATGAAAACAACTTAACACATCATTGTAGAAAAAAGCACAGCTCTCTCATGCTTTTCAAGTGCGAATATCAGCATAGTTAGGAAGTTCCCATGGGCCTGTGAAGCATTTTGATTAGCAAAGTGCAAATAGGCACACCAAGAAATAGCTGCTGTCATGCCTTGTTTAAATTCTGGGATTGTGTTTCAGGAAAACATTTAGGCAATTGCGTAAGTCCTTCCCTGCTCAGGAATGCACTTAGAAGCAAGCTTGATTTAATCATGTGCTTATTTAATCTTACTTCAATAAGATTGAAAGCCTACATCTTAAGAGCTTTTCTGGTATAAAGGCATTTTCTTAACTCTGGAGCTGCAGTTCAGTTACACGAATTCCAAGGCATAGTTTGGCTTCAAATGTTCTATTTTGCACTTAAAATTTCAGTGGTAAGATTTGCTCTCTACACAGTGTTGTTTTAATGAAGAGTTAAACTAAATGCGCATCCAAGGATATATGACAGTTGCTTGTCAAGGTTGAATTTTCTTTCCAGAAAAGGTTTTAAAATTAAAAGACTAGATAACTAAAGCTAATAAAGCCCTTTCACTCTGAAAGAGAAATCTCCCAAATGGAAAAATCCCTTGAGAGCTGCAAGGAAATTCCATCGAGCTGCTGTTCATGTCATGACAACTATGTTTGAAACAGTCAGGGTATCCTGGATTCTGTCAAAGAAACATGAAGGAAAAAAAAAGCCAAATCACTCACAGACAACTGCCAGCTAAGGAACAGCAGCGTGTTTGGACTGGTGTTAGGAAATCCATGGAGGACCATAGGAACTGGATGACATAGGAATTTCTTCAGGTGGATGAAGGACAGAGGAAAATCATTTTCATTATTTATTCTGAAACTGGATTTACATCGTCTGGAGAATTTTACTAAATAAAGCCTCTTCTTGCTGTGTGGTGGTAGCAGTGGGACCACTGTGCTGTTCCTTTATCTGAGGCTGAGGTAGCTCCTCTGAGTGCATGGTGGTTATGCAAAAAGTAGAGGCATAGTTTCAAAAGTGCTGCAGTGGTTTTAGTGACAAACAGAAATAAAAACAGAGGTCTCTGGAGGAAGAGACAGAAAAGCAGCAGTGTGGACAGGTGATAGGAAGTGGCCACCCAGATGTATCTTTGTCTGCTGCACGTGGACAAAGTGCTTTCCTTTGGTCTAAGTGTGAGTATAATTGGTTAATGCAGATTCAGCTAAACAGTGACGGAGTAAAGTTCTAGCAACTCAGCTGCTTTTGTTTTCTCTTTGTACTCTGATTTAATCCAGATTTCCACAGAACCGCTATGCTTCCACAGCCCTTGAGACAGCTCCTTTCACGCTTAAGGGTAACCATCCCAGGGAAGCTCACAGACTTTGTGAGCAGCCCTGCGGTATTGGGGTGTTTGGGGCAGCTACACAAACCGTGCTCAGAAATGTGACTTAGGCAGCCTGGAGTCACTCTCCAAGACGATGTCACAAAGATTATTGTATCTCCTGATTGCAGCTGAATGCCCCTGAATGTTGTGCTCTAGACGTTGTGTACAAATGAATGACATCACTGCAACCAATGCAGAAGTTGCTCAGTGATGTTATGGCATAATGTCTCTTCAGACATGCTTTGGAGATGTCCGTTCATACATCAGCAGGGTGTGGAGTGTGAAACTCACTGGTTGTTTTCTTTACAATATATGCCAAAGACAAGTGGAACTTGGCAGCTATCCCTGGAAAGATATGCAGAGTTTCTTTTTAGAGTAACCCAGTGGTTTACTATGTTATAACTTTCACGATTGATAGTATTGGTTAGCGCTCAACAAGAATATTTATGAGAAAAAGAATGGCTACCTCTGGCCATTTGTATACGGACAGTTTGCTCTAAGAACAAAATTCTTATAAGTGCCTAAAAGAGAATACAAGCACAAGACTGGCAGTGCAGGACACATGCTTACTGCTGCTTACTCTCCAAAAGCTGTGGAGAAACTCTACCTCGGA